TCCCATGGATTTAGGAGGGCTATCATGTTTTATACTTTTCTGATATAAATTCATGAATCTAGGAGCCTTTGTCAGAGAGAAATTAATTTTGGAGTATCCATGTTACTCTTATTCCATCTTTCTATCTCTAGAGAATATAAGTTGCTAGATGAAGGATAATAAATGTTTTTCTAAGAACAAAATCCTTATAAAATAAGTTTAACCTTATTAATACTAGCAGTTGCTATTAGCATTTATTGAGCACTTACCTGCTATATGCTGGGCCTTGTACTCAGTGCTGTACTTATGTTTCTTCGTGGGAGCCTCATGATGACACTGGGAGGTGGGTACTAATATTATGTCATTTGAAAATGAGGACACAGAGATAAGATCGTAGTCAGTCAATAAGTTCTAAGTCATATGCTGAGTAATAGAGCTGACACTTGATCCTTGCAATTTCTGATTCCAAGATTCACATTTTTAATATACTAAAGCTATAACAAATTGTTACTAAAGAAAATTCCAAATCCCTTATGATAACCCCAGATCCCTGTGTATATAAACATCAAGAAAAATGTGTGATTTTAAGTTTATTGTGAGTTTTTTAAGGAAGATGCGTTATCTTATTGGCCCCATTTTTACTCACACTTTGACTTATATTTCTGAGTTTATTTGAATAATGCCGCCATGTAATAGTCCAAATGGGAGACATGTTATATTTGTTTAAAAAATAAAAAGACCTTTTTATTGGATGCATTGTCTGTATGGGAAGTCTCTTGGATATTATGAAACAAATATTTTGGAGAGAATTTATCAAAATTTAAAGTGCACATATGCTGTGACCCAGAAATTCCACTTCGAGCAATTTATTCTACAGGAAATAATTGTACAAATGTATAGTCTGTTTACAAAAGTACTTCTATAGCATTGTTTATAAACGAAAATAAGAAAGCATCTTTTAAAAATTTATTTACTAACATGTTGGTACATGCATATAATGGAATACTATGCAGTCATAACAAAACATCTTCCCAGCTGAACTGGAAAGGTTAAGTGAATAAAGCAAGCTCCAGAACAGTTTATACCACATATTTCCATTTGTGTAAAGAAGAAAACTCCTGTGTGTGTATGTGTACATGATGACATTCACCAGACTGTTTACAGTGATGACCTCTGAGGGAGAGTTCAGCAGATTAAGAGAACAGAAACAGAGACTGACCTTCTTCCTTCTGTACCTTTCTGAGGTGTTCAAAGTATGTACAGTTAGAATGTATTACTTCTATGATAATAATTATCATGCTCACTTAAAACAACTGAAAAAGATTTACTCTTAGCTCTGTTTCATAACATAAATCTTTTTAAAAATGTGCTACTTTGCAATTTTTAAGAACTTCTTGAGCTCAGAATGTATGTATTGTATAGTGGCAGCTGACCTTTTAAGAAGAACATAATAGAATGTAAAGCCTGAGTAAATGTTGCTATTCTAACTTTATTTTATCAACATTTTCAGCAATGTCTTCAATGATCAGAAATCAGGAAAAGAGGATACAGAAAGTGAAAGATCAGGAAAAAATGTTACTAAAATGATACATTGCTTGCCTATTCTTTACAGAGGAATGATGCCCAATTAATTGTGGTGTTACTTATAATTAGTGCCCTGTGTACCTTTTTCTTTTTATGTGAAAATTTAATAAAAGATACCCTGTCCTGTAAACTCTATTTTGAAATAAACTATTCTTGAATGCTCTTACAGTAAAACTTCACACAGTACTAGCTAGATGCGAAAGTATTCATACCTTAAAGATATTAATTTGTGCTAATACCGGTGTGTTGAAATAATTACATTTTTTAAAATTATCTTTAGTGGTGCTGAGGCGATAGTCATTTTTTTTTTTTTTCAGCTTATAAAAACTCCTTTCACGTGAAGGTGAAAGATGTGGTATAATGTCCAGAACATAGGACAAACTCCAGCGTACTGACAGGGATTCCTTTGGTGATCCTGAACTCACTGTTTGTTCTGTCAATATCAGTGGATGTAATCAGATAACAAAACACTGGGGCCCCTAATCAAAACTTCTGGAAAAGTTTCTCTTTTACATATTAATAACTATAAAGAAAGAAAGAAAAAAATTGTTGTTCTTCAGCCAGTGGGTAACTTCTACAGATTGAATGGATTCAGTCTGCTTTAATCAGATTTTAATAAATTAGAGGGTTTTGTATGTGGAGTGTTTTCCAACACCAATAACCAATTCTCTGTGGACACCAACTGGGTGTCCTATGAGTCAATTCAGTTCTGACACTAACTACCTGGAGTTAGAGTCACATTCTACAGATTTAAGGGCTCAGTCCCATAAGACTGTCCCCACTTCAGATGCCAATCACAAGTCCCAGGCCGCCTGTACTTCTGACTGACTATGAATTGGAGGTTCCCACAGCCCCCTCCTCAGTTTCAGTAATTTGCTAGAACAAACACAGAACTCAGGAAAGAGCTTTGCTTACTATTACTGGTTTATTTTAAAGGATACAACTCAGGAACAGCCAAATGTAAGAAATGCATAGGGCAAGGTATGGGGTCCCCGTGTGTGAAGCTTTCATGCCCTCTCAGGGCCCGTCACCCTCCCAGCACCTTGATGTGTTCACTGACCCAGAAGCTCATCACATCTCATTATTCAGAGTTTTTGTAGAGCTTAATCTTCAGCCCCCTCTCCCCGTTCTGGGGATTGGGAGGTAGGGCTGAAAGTTCCAATCCTCTAATCACTTGGTCTTTCTGGTGACCAGCCCCATCCTAAGGCTGGCGAGAGCCACCCCGCCCCCCAGTCACCTCATTAGCATAAACTAAGCTTTGATCTAAAGGGCCTCATGAATAACAAAAGACACTCCTATCACTCGGGAAGTTCCAAGGGTTTGAGGAGCTCTGTGCCAGCAACTGGGGACAAAGACCAAATATATTGAGTATACCGCAGTATGTGAACCAAATAAAACGAGACAAGAACAGATACAAAAATGTTTCAGTTGTGCCAAAGACAACAGGGACAATGTGGCAGAAGGCTAGCTGCCCAAAAAAGTCTGTATTCCTGTTCCATAGTACAGATGACACAGACACAGCTGTCCAGCTAGAGGCTCTGTTCCGCAGCCCCCGCCTCCCCTCACATCTAGGTGTGGCCACCTGACCAGTTCTCACTAATGGCGTGTAGACAGATCAATATGTGGCACTTTCTGGCCAAAAGTTTTAGTAAGCGTTGGTGTTTTACCTCACTGTATTTCCCCTTCCAGGGGCTGGATACAGTGGACAGTGAGGTCCTGGGGTAACCGTGGGCCCCCAGGACTGGCTTGGCTGACCCCATCTTATCGCCAGAGTAATTAAGAAATTGTCTTTCAGAAAATTTGCTAAGTCACATAGCCAGAGCATGCGCAGAAGAAGAAATCTTGACTTGAAATGATTGTGGAACCAACGATTCTCTTCCCCATGGAACTGAAGGACTGGGACATGACCAGAACTTAAAATTTGGACTCTCATCACAAGTGAAGAGTCCGGCATTCAGGAAGATCTGGTGTTAAGATTCCTTCCCCACCTTAACATAAATGTTTGGAACCTCATCATAAATGTTTAGAACCTTACCATAAATGCTTGAAGCCCACCAATCAAAACCTGTCCCTCCAGCATTACCGCATGCCAGTCTGCTCTCCCTAACATCTTAAATTTCACCCCAAATCCTGAATCAGGGAGACAAATCTGAGGGCACACGTCCCCTGTCTCCCAGCAGATCAGTCTCGTGGAATATTCTCTCCCAAAAGCTGATGCCAGAATTAATTGGCTTGTTTATGTGCATCAGGCAAGAGACCCCCAGTTTGGGGCAGTAACACTAGGGGATGGTAGAGCCACGGGACAGAAGGAGCCTGGGTGAGAATCTCTGCAAGCAGGAGAGTGGCCCTCCAGCCAGAAACACCCACTGCTGACTGTTTAGTGAGCAAGAATTAAGCTGCTGTTGTTGCAGCCTGCTTACATGGATGGTGTCTGTGACAGCAGCTAGCGTGAGCCCTAACCAGTGAAGATAATAAACTAAGTAGGGCATCTGCACTCCCAAAAGAAAATCCTTGTTTCTCCTCTAAATGACAGCATTAGTACTCTAAGCACATCTAATTTTAAATAACGATTTTTAAAAATATGAAGTTTAGTACATGTATCTTTTACATCAATTGGCTTTACTGAAAAATTTCTTATCAGGTAATGATAAAATAGCTAGTGATAGAATTCTGGAGATATTTGTATTGTAAATTGTTTTACCTTTAATTTTACATAATAGAAATGCTTGGGCATTTTGTGCTGTAATAGTAAATGCCTTCTGAAGACCTCACTGGTAGGGTATAAAATTCATTAAGTATGTAAGAAGTATAGATGAATTTACCATAAAGGTTTTGGCTATGAGCCAAAAGCTGTCAAACATAGCTCTTTTAAGCACTATTTTTGGTTGGAATTATGCTCTTTTCAGCAAAGACTATCTGTAATGAGGAGTAAACATTGTTTCGCCAAAAGATGTTACACTTAGTAAAAGTTGTTTTAACATTGAAGAATTAATTTTCAAGTACAGGCAGGCATAATACCCCTCCAAACAAAGGTAAAGTTTTAAAAGAAATATTCTAAAACTTTTTCTCCTGATGTTTGCTTTTTTCTTTGTGTCTGTTATTAGTGGAGGAAAATATTAGTATTTTATTTTACATCTAAGCTATTATGGTACTAAGATTTAGATGAATAATTCAGACATTAAGATATTAAAACTCAGGTTTTATTATTATTCAGTTATAATAACAATGTTTAAATGTTTATTTCTTCTCAGAGCAAAGATGTACTTCTATATCACTGTCCTGTTATAATTTTGTTACCCAAGAGAGCTGCTGGGATGAAAGGAGAGGGAAGAGGGTGAGACGATTGCTAGGGGACAGTCCACCTGTCGGTCCACATCTGGTGTGAGAGGGGAGGGGCGAGGGGAGAGCATCCTGCAGAGGCCCCTCTAGTGATGGGCGTGTCCCTCCCTGCAGTCAGGCTGTACCTGTACCTGCCAGCCCTCTAGCAGGTGTCATTCAGGCCACCTCACTCAGCCCACACCTTAACCCCATCCTCCTTCCCTTCCTCGTGGCTGTTCTCGATGACGGACTGTGATTCAGCCCTCAATCCTTAAGACAGACATACCTGCTACCTTCAAACCATACCTGGCAGGTAAAATCAAACAAAAAACATTGGAAAGTCTTAATGTATTACCTCATGTCCTTGCTAATCACATCTAGTGACCAGATATTTTCTGATCACAGTTCCATATGGTGTTAACTATTTTTAAGTCTAAAGTGTGCATGTAGTAAAGAGAGCACTTTTGCAGCTGTACCAGCAGGAAATCAGCCCTCTCTCAATGAAGCTTGTTTCACTCCCTTGGTGTAGGGATCACCCAAAGGCTCAAGCTTGAACCCCATGCAGCTGGTTAGTTTCTGGGCTCCCTGACCAGTCCACATCTAAAGCTTAGCCAAGTCAGTGCCCAACAGGACCAACCCTAAAGTAATGATGGATCAGCATAAATCCACCCAAGGCCACAGGAAAAAAAGCCCATGGTCACTGGAAGTATTGTCTACGATATATGTTTCTGCACATTAGACAAAAGCCACTAGCAAATTTGAAACAACTGTGATGGCTAAATTTGGGGTTACACTTCCTTTATTTTAAATTATTCATGTGCTCCACAACCTTAGCCTCTTCCACATTCTGCAACAGCCTCTCCAATACTTTGCAAACTGAATCAGTGAATTCCCCACCACTTGTGAACCACTTTGTCTTCATGGCCAGTCTCTAGGAACCTATTGCTGCACTCCTCCCAGCGGGTGACTTCCCCATTCTCTACCACCACAAACTTCCATTCCACCGCTGTATCTGCTGGCAGGGACACAGAATGAGACCAGAACCCATCTTTGCTATACTGGAGTGGGATGTACGTGTTCCATCTCCCAAGACTCTCATGGTCTCCAGTTACTGCAATGAATTGCACACCAGTACTTGTGATATAATGGACCTGGAACCTGACACTAACTTGCCGAGACCCTGAAGACATTGCTACTACACTTTTTGGTTTCACATCCATTTCCTGACCTCTTGCTTCCACAAGAGTGCTTCTGCCATAGTCCATTCCCTGTTTTGGGTTTAACAGTGGAGCCTTAAGACTGCCACCCAAACCAGCATCTCCCCAAGATGAGTGCCTAGACACCATTTCCCAGGCCTCGTGGTCAGCTGGGTCCTGACTGCCCAGCTGCGCAAGGCTCACGTGTTCTTTAGCTCTATCCATGACCAGGTTGCTAGAGGGCAACTTCTCTGTAAAACCTGGAGCTGCTTTAGCAGGTGTCTCTTGGCCTTTGTGGAATCCCTGTTGTTCTCTAGGAGATTCAAGGCTTTCATTTCTTGAAACTTCAGAGTAACTCCTGGAGTTACCAGTCTCAGACGTAGTTAGAGATTGTGTGTCTGGAAACTGTCCAGAAGGAACATGTTTTCTTGAATTGTCACAGTCACCGTCTTCTCCAGAAGGACTCTCCTGTCTCCGTGCTGCTTCCTGCAGGTTACCAGAGCCTTTGGTCTCTGAAACCAAACATCCATTGCTTTCTTGAAGATGCTCTAAAAAACAAAAGGAAAAATATAATAGTGTTAGGCAGTTCATGTGAGAAAAAAATAAGTTAGGCTGAGAAAATAATTATTGAAGACTTTATCACTAACCTATCTACAGATCACAAAATTCATCTCTATTAAAATCAAGCACTTAATTACCTAGTTCAGATACTAACTGCACCAACACTGTGCTCTAAGAATATACATGTATATCCAGCCATAAAAGGCGCACCCAGGAGTGTCAGTGTACCAGCAAAGAGTGTAAAGGAAGTGGCAAGGTGTCGAGGCAGAAGTGTAACCCTGTCATGGTTGTCACTCTCCGTAGTCCAGGCCATATGGCATGCAACCAAGTCAAATTGTTTGGCTCCTATCAAAAAATGTCCAGCCTGTACGGTGAAGAGCTGCGTGGCTACCGTACAAACCAGAAGAGTACACGGGTACTCGTAGGAACTGCGTGCAGACCAGGGTCAGCTCTCACAGATGCGGGCAGATGAGCAGCCGCTGTGGCTGTGGGGGATACAAAGGACAGCAGTGCATCACTGGGAAAGAGCTGGGGGTGAGGGTGTGGGGAGATGGCTGGTTTCTCCTTGGCAACCCCATGCGCTTCAGGAACCTCTTAAACAAAACAGGCTTTTACATCTCTTGCCATTGTACATTTAAAAAAAATATTCTTAAAGTACACAATCCAAGCTCCCCCAAAGACTCAGTTTCCTTCTTGGCCAGCTCATTGGTAGTCCAAATAGCTCCCTACAAGATCGAAATCTCCAAAATCATACAATCAGCACAGATAGGATTTTTGTTGTTTTTTCTTTGGGAGGGAGGGTCTTGTTTAATTTTGTCTCTTTTTAATGGTGGGGTTGGAAGTGAGGCATAAATATTACCCTGAATTCCCAAACTTTCAACCTAAAACATGATGCTGGCTTTCAGAAAAAGATGAATGATCTCTCTACTCATCCCAACCAACTCGGGAAAGGCACCGGGCAGATTTTCAAGTGGCTGCGCAGGAACAACACTCCACTAAAAATAAAGTTCACAGATGTCATTTTCTCCGTTAGGCTGGAGTCCAGGCATGGACAGCTGGCTAAGGGAGGGCCCTGGATGGGAAGGTTTTCTGCCAGGGCTCTTACTTTGCCCAGCATAGTCTCTCAAATGTAGAGATTTAAACCTAGATGTCAATTCTACTCATCGGAGTTGGGTCCGCTATGAAGTGCGTCCCTTCCCCAGGGATTAGACAACCTTGTTCTGGGTGAGCATAGGGGAGGGCGGATAGCTCTGAAATGGGCAGCCAGCTTACAGCCCCTGGGCAGCAGCCAAGGCCTTCATGGCCAGAGTCCAACCTGAACTTTGCCTTCCCGACAGAAGCATCCAGATAGCGGGAGGTGCTCACCGCACGGGTGAGGCATGGGAGGACATGAGGCTATGGGATTGGAACTGAGAAAGTGTCCCTGCTCGGTCAGAGATTGAAAAGGGTTGCAGGATCCCCCTAAAACTAAGCACTCCTTTCCGAAGGCCGGGAAGGGGCGCGGCCGCTGCAGCCGCCCGCACTGCACCAAACGCCGCCAAGTGGAGGAGCCCATCCCCGCTGGATGGGCAGGGGCCGGTCCTCAGGGGTGGGCGCTGAGCGCAGACTCAGCAGGGCGCGGCCCCTGGACGACCGGCCAGGGCATCTCCAGGGCCTCTGTGGAGGGGAGAAACCTGTCCGGCGCGTGCGCACCAGCCAGGGATAATGAAGGGCGTGGGGAGGGTCCCGCCCCCGCTAGGGGCAGCTAGTCCGCGGGAAGAGGCCGCTAGGAAAGCTCCAGGTGGGGTTTTTCCTCCCTCGGTGAACTTCAAAGCCCCCTGGCAGATCTGCCCTCTAGACGCAGGGAGGAAGAATACCTGGTTTGGTGACCAGCTCCCGCTTGGAAGGTCCAGGGCTCTGGCCGCCGCCGCCACCCTGATCGCCTCCCAGAGCCGCAGCCTCGCCAGGAGAGGCGTCCTTCTCCTGGTCCGCGTCCCCCTCCTTTCCTGTGTCCCGCAGCAGCCAAATAAAAAGCGCCCCGGCCAGACCCCCTCCGACTAGCAGGGCAGACCAGACGGTGCCCATGGCTGAGAGGCCGCAGCTGCGGGAGACCACAGTGACCGGGACGGGGACTCAGGTCACGGAGTCAGAGCCACACCTACCCCGTCCGCTCCAGCCTTTTACGGTGCCCGGCGGCGGGCGCTCCCGCGTGGAGCCCAACCCTCCGCGACTAACACTCAACTTTCTCAGCCCCGCCCTACTCTCCGCCCCGGGGCTGCAGCCTCAGGCTCCGGCCGGGCGGAGACTCTAATGCCTTCCTTTCCCAACATTTTCAATTTCCGACCCTGCAAGTCCCCGGCGGCCGGAGTGCAAGGGGTGCACGGTTCAACGGGTGCCTCGTTCCACGTGTGTCCCGCACGCGTAAAGAGCCCAAGTGCGCACAGCTACCGCGCGCAAACCCGGTCCTGCTCCACCGCCTTTGCCTGTCACTCCAGCTGCCCGCAAGGCCCAGCCCTGCCTCAGCCTGCGCCGGGCTCCTCGGCGCCCCGCCCCATGGACACTCGGCAGCAGCGCGGCCAGCTAGAGACAGCAGCTTCCAGGAACTTAGTCGCGGAAGAGGCCAACGTGCGTCGTGACGCGCGGGGCTGGGGCTCGGGCTGGAGCGGTAGCACGGCCGCGTGTGGTGGGGTAGGCTGGAAGCACTGTGGACGCGGTGCGGAAAAACCTGGAGACCTAGTGGAAGCTCCATTTGGGAGCCAGTTAGCTGCGCTTAGCCTCCCGCAGCCTCCGCCTCCTCGCCTGTAAAATGAAAGGAGTGGACTGAGACATCCGTCTATAAATGCCAGTCATCTTCCTCGACCTCTTTTAAGGGTTATTGCAAAAGGCGCGCCCTCCTGTCTGGACTGGATGTTGCCCAGGGACAAGCTCCTATGGATGGGTTTGTTAATAAAAATAGCAAGCCTCTTTGTTAAGCGTTGTCTGTGTGCCAGGTGTTTAATGTATGCATTTAATTTGATCCTCAAAAAACAACAACCCTGTGAGCTAAAGATTATACACATTTCTTTCTAAATTCACTCCTCTGCTGATCTGATGGCTTTACATACCAATTTCAAGCTAATGATTCCCGCATTTGTATCCTTTCCCTTGAACTACCCACTCTTACATCCAACCAAGGCCACAGCTGGCAAATATCTGCTTGGAGTAATTACTAAAATGGCTCCCTCTGGTAAAAAAATGTCGCTCAAATGTGCCCCATGCTCGAGCGGACAGAAGCCCCTGACGGGGTGCAAGGCTCGGCCAGTGGAGTTCATGGAGGTCTGGGGCGTGCCTTCGTACAGGTGACTACCCCTACTATCATAAGGGAGGGGAAAGGGAGCGTGGGGAAGGAAACCACGAACTGGGCATCTACTCCTGGTTGTTAATAGACTTCTCAAAGCCAAATCACTCAAACTCCCGATCTTCCTGCCCAAATCTGCTATTTGCCCTGTCTTCCTCATCTCGGGAAATGGCAACCACATCCTTTACCGTTGCTGAAAAAACAACGTTGAGTCATCCTTGACTCTCCTTTTTTTTCCCCTCTCTCAGTAGGCAGTAGAAAATTCTGCCACTCTTTCTTCAAAATAGATTCAGAATTCTACTTCTCTCCACAGTCAGTGCCATCCTGGTCTGCCACCATCATCTCTCACCTGGATGATTGCAGTTGCCTCCCCCTGTGCTCCCTGCTTCCACCCTTGAGCCCCTACAGGTCACTTTCAAAGCAGCAGTCAGAATGATCCTGTGAAAACACTCCCATCCTCTGCGCCTCTGCTCAAGAGTCCAATTGCTCTACATTTCATGGCGGAAACCTTGAAGACCCTGCAGGATCTGTCCCCCGTGACCTCTCTGAGCTCATCTCCATCTCTCCCTTCTCCAGCTACACTGGCTTCCTGCCTAGAATCATCCTTCCTGCAGACATCCATCCAGATGTGTATCCTCTCCCTTACCCTCTTCAGGTCTTTGTACAAGTGTCATCTGCCCTGTGAGCCCTTCCCCAATAATCTCAATTTTAATTCAAACCCCCATCCTCTTTGTCTCTTTAGCATTAGGACATCACTTCTTTTTATTTTCTTATTCAGGTAACATTGGTTTATAACATTACATAAATTTCAGGTGTACATCATTATATTTCTATTTCTGTGTAGATTACATCATGTTCACCACCCAAAGACTAATTACCATCCATCACCACACACATGTTCGAATCACCCCTTTTGCCTGGGGCATCACTTCTAATACACTGTATCATCCATGGATTTGTTCTGTTTAACTTCTTTCTTCTCTTTAGAATGTAAACTACACAAAAGCAGAGTTTATTGTCCTTTGTTCTCTGCTGAATTCCCAGCACCTAGAACATTCCCAGAGTGGTCCCTCAAAAAGTACAGGTTGAATAATTCAATTAGCTCCATGTATTCCCAGTCTGGAGCATTATTGTCATCTTTATATAGATTCTATATGCATTTTTTAATGCAATGTAGATGTTACTTTTTTCAGGTAGATTTCATGTCAAACTGATTAGGGATTCAATGATGGACTTCCTTAAGACCTCTAAAGTTTAAAACCACTGACAACCACCCATACATCTCAATTCAGGCAGCCTTAAGATAACAAAACCAATCTTGAGGTGAGTATGAAAACAATAAAAAGTGTTAGCAAAACTATATTTTTAAGAAAATTAGTCATTATATAAAATAACATGCTTTTTATGGACTCTCTTACTAATTGGTTCTTAAATTACAAAACTATTATAGATCTAAGTTTTTAATAGTCAGAATTTTGTAGAAAAGTTTAGAGTTATTCCGTTTCCTTTTGCCAAAGTAAAACTTGATGTCAGAGGGATGTCCTTGAATTTTGCAAATTCTATCGCCAATGGAGTGATTTTATAAATAATAAGAAAATCCTTGAACATTTTATTTCCTCACTGATAACTTCAGTTGCTGCTTCATTGGTTAAAGTTTTTTATTAACGTGCCAATGAATGAAATCCCAGAGGATGTGTAAAATCCTAGAATGCAATTCTCACTATTCATTTCTGATACCTAGAAGGCTCTTACTAAACGTTGATTGTTGTCACCAATTGCTATTTCATTTATTAAAAATATAACCAAAAAATGACATAACTCTTCCCAACCATCAGAATTCCTTTTACATTGTATCGGATTTATCATGCAACATTTTTAAAGAACATTATTTATTTGGATTTTTTAAACTTAAATGTTGACTCATTGATGTCTACGTTGCTGCTTTAAAAAAATTACTCCACTCACTATCACATTTATTGAAAGTCTATAACCACATATTCTAAAAACATTCTTGCAACACTAACAATACTGTGTTTATCACCATACAATTGCAAAATGATGTTCTTTGCCTTTATATAGAAGACCTTTGAGCCTAGGAGGACGGGAACGAAAAATGAAAGCAGATTTGGTAGGGACGAGGGAGGAAGATGATGAGTTCTGTTGGGATGGGTTAAATTTGAGGCACTAGCAGGAAGTTGGACCTGGGGGTCTGTAGTTTAAGAAGGGGTTCAGGGCTGGAGACACTGGAAATTCCTTACAGAGAGGTGGCAATTAAATCGTAGTAGAGATTAATTTTCCAAAGGGAAATCAAGAATGAGCCAAACTTCAGCCCTTGGCATAATCTTAAGAAGATTGGAAAGCTGCCTCCACATTGCTGCTTGTGTTGCGATGATGTCTTGATGTTATAGTTTAGGGGCCATAAGGTAGTGCCCATTTTCTAACTGATTATTGTTCTATTACATAGAGTATAAATAAATAGACATAGAAATGGATGGATATTTTAAAGTTATATATATACTTTTTTTTTCCTTTAACCTCATGCAAGAAAAGATTGCTCACTCCTGGTGCAGAGGGATGAGGACAAATCAATGAAAAGCAGCTCTGTTTGCAGGGCCAGGAGGATTAAAGAGGGTGGGAAGAAAGAGCTAGGGAAAAGAGAATCAGGAGACTTGTTTCCAAAGGCAGGTGCAAAAAGCGGTGCAAGAAGGTGGTGGGGAGGGGGTAATGGGGATGTCGCTCAGGAGAGTTTAAGTGGATAGAGGACTGAGAAAAAATGGTTGGAGTTGACATATAAGAGGTCATCGGTGACTGCAGTGTTCATGGGGATGGGAGTTTGATTTTGGAAGGCTGAGGTGTAAAGGCAGTGAAGGCTGTGAAGTCCAACACTGATTTAGCCTTCTCTTGAGAAATTTGGAGGCAAAGGATAGGAGAGAAGTTGAAGTGTGGCTTAAGAATAGAACAAGGCCCAAGGGAAGTTCTTTCAGACCGAGAGGCCTGGGCATGTTTGCAAGCAGAAAAGAGCCAGTGGAGACCTAGACTGAAGATGTGAAAAGGATAGGAAATACTTCATGGGAATTCCACAAGGGAGGAGGAAGCGGTGAGTCAAGCGAAGGACACCAGTGGAAGAGTTGGCCTCAGAAGAAAGAAGGAGACAGGCATGAAGAAAGAAAGGAATGAACATAAGAAACATTTTGAGGTACAAAGGAGGCAGGGAGTGGGGTTATCAGCTGAGTGCGAGGAAGGAAATCCGATTGAGGTTTTAAGGAAAGCCAAGGAAGTAGGAACTAGCCATTGGGAGAAGAGGTTGCCATTGGGAGACCTCTCCCTCATTGAGTCCTGTTGATTCTTCAGTCACAGCCCTCTTGCACTGCTCCCATCCCTGTCATTCCCGTGCCCTCGCCCCCATTCAGACCCCACCCAGCTCTGTTTAGACAACTACAATCCCTTCCTAATTCATCTCTGCACCTCCCTCCCTTCTGGCTGCGATCCACTCTGCAACCACTCTTGATTCAATCTTTCTAAATGACAGTCCCGAGAGCAGGGCATCTCCTCTGTCTACCAGATTAAATCAACCCCATTTTAGCCTTCAAGGTCTCTATGACACAGCCCCAATGACCTCCCCAGGCCTTTCTCTTACCATTTATCTGCACTCCAGCCATCAAGACTCTCCCACTGGAACCTTGGCTCATTGGTCTAGACATTTCCTAAAAGCTACTTCCTTCCATGAAACATTTCCCCAGCCCCCAAATTCATTCGTCATTCCTTTCTTTGAACTCTGACTACATATTGTAACTCTCTCAGAGCAAAATATGAGATTTTCTCTTATGGTATAATTATTTTTATAGTTTATCTCAGTCCTATACTAGATCATAAATTTCTTG